ACACACACACACACACACACACACACACACACACACACACACACACACACACACACACACACACCGAAGTGGACGAGACAGAAGCGGAAGGAGGTTCTTAAAGAGACAGAGGCCAATTTCAAGGCGTTTAGAAGAGGAAGTGATGAGAAGATAAGTTTATTTTCTATTTAAACATAAAAACAGCATTTTAATAACAACTAAAGGTGATATAGATACTTTATTATGGTATAGTATTTATATATATGCCCGAGAAACACATAACATTGCCCCTTTAAGTTAGTGCCAACTCAGCTGAACACCAGTAGCAAAGGTGTTTTTTAATAACCTTTGAATCAGAGAAACAATCTGGAGTGTTATCTTGCGGAGAGTAAGATGAGCAAATTTATAATAACGTAAATGTCTTTATACTGATCTGAAATTGACATCTACTGTACACACCTGGAGGTCACTGCAGACGGATATTTTTGAGTTGAAGAAAATAATAGGCTGGTTTTATATCTAAAGACATTTTGTCACAGTTTGTTTACCAGCCCACCTACAGAACAGGACACCTTCATGTGCCTGCTGAGTCTGGGCTACATAACGACGTGTTGTGTGTGTTCCCAGTGTGTCACGGAGCGTCACATGTGGAGAAATGCTTCAGGAAATTACCTGTCGCTATGGGAACTTGATGATCGGCGTGGAGGACTCATGATTACCTCTTGTGGGGATTTTGAGTGAAAAAGAGAAAGAGGGGAGGGGGGGTGGAGAGAGAGAGACAATTTGAAAAACATTTCTTATACAGTACGTTGAGTTCTTTAAGTCTCAGGAGTGCAACAGTGATTACATAAACCACCTGCTTTATTGCTTAAATCTACACAAAGTCAAAGAAGCTGTCGCAGTTTGCTGCTCTGGAAATAGAAAAGGATTACATGGACACACTTGAATGGAGTTTATGGTTTACATTCTGATAATAAAAGGAGCAATGCTGCTGAGTTAAACAGCTCAGTGTGTGTTTACTGACCCCCGTTATGGAGTATGATTTAATTCCTGCAAACATGGTGAGGAGTAATCCTAATAAGCCCATTTTCTGCCCCTGAAGCAAAGCAGGAAGCAGAAAAATATTATTTAAAAAAATGAGAAACAGACATTTTTAGAACGGTTTGTTTACCGTGTGACTCAGTCATGTTGAGCATGTTGACATTGACTTTTGGGCTTTTTTTTCCCTACTTAACAAATCAATGCTGAGCTTTCTTTACAGACTGGTTTCATTTCATGCTTGAATCATCGATTAGGAAACAAACTGGATAATATAACAAAGTTATGTGTTTGTGTCTTTCTGTTGTCATCGGTGCAGGCAGCCTTGTGGACTAATAGCACCATGAGACATTATCTTCCTTATTAGTGTAAGCATAAGCTCCAGCATAAAGAAAAGACAGGAAGTGAGTGTCTTAAGCTGAAAAACAGTAAATAATAAAACTGAGCACAAGAATAATGAATGAAGAAAGGTGTCATCAAGAGTAATAAATAAATAAATAATTAAATATATTAATAAATCCAACTCCACATTCATCATGTGAGTAAAATAGGATGTTTGGCTTGTTAATAATGGGATGTTTATGAGCTCCTAAGCAAAAAGAACGCTTCACAAAAATGAAGAGAGTTGCTTGTGTTGAGAAACTGTTTCAACATCATGGTGAGAAACCTGAAAAGCAGCTGTACATCCTTAATTACTGCAAGATTCATCAAATTTCATGCAATGGCTATTGAGATATTTTGATAAAAGACAGAAACATATCTGGCAACATACAGGCAACTGTTAAATCTGACTTGTGTTATGAAAGTTTCTTTTTACATTCCCATCAAAAACACTTAAATGGAGAGTTTGCATAAGTTTCTGTTGCATACATGGATTTATATTTAACATAAGTTGAATCTTTTTGTTGTTTGCATTTAATTTGCTCCATTGTCTTATATTGATTTTAGTTTGCATTGCATTTTTTTCTGAAAAACAAAGTCTTAGATTGGTATTATTAAAGTATCCATCTATATATCTAATCATGCATATTGTTTATGCATTTAAACAACAGATACTCTACAAATAAATCAATTAAATCAATGGCAGCACTGGCACCTAACTGCACACGTTTTAAAGTCACATTCAAATTGTTGTTTTCATGGACAAAATTAGCAAGAAACAATAGCATCAGTCAAAACATCTGGGATCTGACTAGGTCCATATTTAAATACTGAAAAACAAGTTAGATGTATTCATGCCTGAGAAATTTAATATAAATTATTATATCCAATGCAAGTTACTGTACGTCCTTTATAGGACACAGAAACCATAATTTAATTTAGTTAATTTAGAATCTGCTCAAGAAAACAAACTGTGAGTGAAGCCAGACTTTCTGAACATGCTGACATCATGACACACGGTTCTTTGCTAACTTTGTTTACCAGGCAGCTGCACTTCCTGTTTGAGGTCCCATCGTCGTAAACACCGGCTTGGTTTAGATAAACGGTACATAACCCCCGCCTGCACCACACAGGATGTCCTCCATCAATCCCCGCCATAGCTTTCTCAGGATTAAAAAGTGGCAGGTTAAAAAACAAACAAACAGGCGCCTTCAAGTTCCTAGGTGCCTTTTTCCGGCACAACACCTGTAGCAAATATTGAGTTTTAGCGACACATACAGATATAACCTACTTACACATTTTACATTATTACCTAACTGTCCGCATAACGCCCGTTTTTTATTTATTTATTTGTTTATTTATTTTTATAGCTTGCTATTTTCCGCACACCTGACAGTTAATACACGGTGCATTCCGCTGACCCTTATGGGCCACCGTAAATTCAAGTATCAATACGCCGGCCGGTCAGAGAGCGCCAGCGGAGACTTCGCCGTCGCTTAGCAACAACTTTGTTTGCTACTGTTGCCGAACTACATTACTGAGCGGAAGGATGATGCATGCTAACCTGACGCTATTTTTAGCCCTGTAGCTGCCTGGTAAAAGCTTGATTATTTGATTTTTTTCAACTTGCCTTATTTTTAATTATCTCAGAATCCAGTGTGACCGTTTCTTTCAGCCTCGCTTACATAACACCAGCTGATCAGAAGACTGCGAGCGCCGCATCTCTTCTCAGCTTCCTCCGCTGCTCTCCTTGTGATGTTTTTAAAATGAGCACGGGCGCTCTCCGCCTGGATTCATCACCATCATCATCATCATCGCGTCTCTCGCTCAGCATCAGCATCTTTGCCCCCCTTCAGCAGTCACACAGCAGGGGTTTCAGGCTGCAGAATTTCTCCACCTGAAGTCACCCTGACGTGTCGCCATCTACCGGACAAACTTGAAATGATCCTGCGCTGTCTGCTGAAGAAACTAATGCATTTCATGCTGAATTGATCTTCTCATTAAAAGGCTTTTAGAGAAATGAGTAAGTCCACCATTAGACAATGTCAATCCCAGGGGTTTGCTTTATTCATTACCTTACAGCCTGATTTTTTTTTTGATTGATGGTGTAGGGAAGTAAAATTAAATCTTCTGTTTTCTGTGTTTAAAGCTGTATTAATACCGTTACAGCCTCATTCACTCATATGGTGTTTGTGATGAGCCCAACTTTGCTTCTTGTTGTGAATAAAATAGCTCAAACCACTAAAAATGTATTTAAATGAGATCAATATGCTTTTAAAATGAAACATTGCTGCCATAATATCATGTTTCCCCAAACAGAGTCTACGCAGCACATGAGAAAGTCTTGACAACTTCTGCTCACAGCACCCATAAACATAGCTTTTATACACTGAAGTCAATCTATTTTCTTGAAACATACCTGCAACAGCTCTGTCTTCTGCTCTCTGTCTTGCAAATGTCCCCCTCGCATTGAAAAAAATGTTCATTCTGTGCAAACCAAGGGGCGAGCTGCAGATCCGGCTGCCTCAGGAAGAGCCTGCTCGCCTGTGTGTGTGTCTTTTCCTTGTGTTCAGTCTCTCCACTTTTCAGCCCATTATCCTCCAGGGGAAAGAGCTCTGAACGTCATCATGTTAAAGCCCACACAACCACTTGTGCTTTTCCATGTCAGCCGTCAGGTTTCACTCACTCGCTCATCTCGCCAAGGATCTGGATTCCCGCAGACTACTTTTATCACTTTTTGATCCTTTGTTGCGCTGTGATTTTTTTTTCTCTCCTGCCAATCACTGACTGTTTATACGACTGAATTACTGAGAAAATGATGGAGTCGTTTGCGTTGACTAGCTGCTGTGGGTGACTAATATCCACATGAGCTGTTGTGCTCTCAAGCACTGAATGATTTCCATCTATTTTTTTGAAAACAATCACAGAAATTTGATTTTTAGAGAACTTTTACTGGGCTTTTGGGAGTGGGATGGGGTTTCCTTAATGGAAATGTCTGTGAATTTTTTTGTTTGAAACAAAATTAAACAACTGGAAAACCAACCCTCAAGAATGATGAGTTTTTACCAGGGGTTGAAGTTTCCCCAATGCCACTTCGTTTTTTTAAAGCATCTACACTTTTGTTGCATTAGTTTATCTATTTACTTGTCAGCCACCATTAATCTTTCCTAAAATAATATTTTCCATGTCAGTATTAGATCTGAACTTCGCACAAAAAGTGAGGAAATTTGTGTTTGGTAGGTTACTTTTTTGTGGTAACAATGCTTCTTGACAATAAACCTTACACTATTGGAAAGCCTGTTATTTTCCCTTTTAAATGGTGCCACATTTGTAAGGAACATGCACTTGATTATGGAATGCTCTGGAAGATGATCTTAAAAATGGTAGATCAATGTATATATTTAAGAGACAGATAAAAGCAAGTTTTTTGAAGATATTTGAAAAGTAAAATGTGAAGCTATTCGATGATGTTTTTATGTTGTTGTTCTTTTTATTTTTTAATTTTATGTTATTTAGTATTGTTTTGTATTATGTTTCATTTGAATATATTCTGGGTCGAAAAGGGGCAGACATAATAAGATTTATTCTTCTTCAGCTACTTTTCATTTTATTTTGATTTGTATATTTTGTTGGTTTATTTTTTATTATTGTATGTAGTATTTTTTTTAATGAAATGAATACATTTTTGAATTAAATTGAATTGAATTTGTGGAATGATGGTTGAGCATCATTAAAATTGATGAAATCTTATTTTGCTGTTGCTATTCTGCGCTACCAATCAGGTGTCCTTATTGCCAAGAAGTATTGTCATAACAAAGAAATAATCAACCAAACACAAACTGTCTTGTTATTGTGCTAAGTGTTTGCTGTCTGTTACTGTTACTGTTACTGTCTTTTTTTTTAGGGGAAATGCATCCTTGCATCCATTTTACACTGAATTTCCTCCATAAATGAGTTCTATTTTGCAAGCTGTAGACATGAAAAGAGACTCATAATTATAGTGGTAACCTGCTAGCCTCTAATGTGCTTTAATTTTATGCTTGCAGTCATTTTGCAGTCCCAGTTCTCAGCTTTGACTAATGCAGCTCTGTCTCAATTTGGAGAAAATCCTTCGGTTATGCACTCATTTTACGACCTGTTTTGAACTTCTCAGTATCACAGCGTGTCCTGTAACCCGAATCCATTAGGCTTTAACTCTTCACCGTGCGTCTCCTGTTCACAATATTACGAGTATTGTTGAGTCTCAGCGCTGTGCAGCCACTCTCACCTGGATGCTTTCTCTTTGTACTCCCAAAGTATCTAAAAACAGATTGAGAGGGAAGCAGGCTCAGTCGGTGAGGCACTCAGATTCTGTAAGCAGCCCAGAGGCATATATAATATATAGGAGCGATCCAGGAGCTGGGTGGATGAATCACGCTGTGGCTTTATCCATTCGTCTGGCTAAAGACGAGAGCCTTTCGTGATTTAAAGGAGTTCGCAATCACTGCGTCGTGTGTGAATATTCCCTACCTATAAAAAGAAGCAAACTGCATTATTTGTCTTATTCAACCAAATTCTTTTTGTTTAATTTTTCATTTCTTGACAATCAAATTTTAGGTCACCTAAACAAGGGGAAAAATATCAAATAACTATTTCCCCCTTTCAACAGTTATTTAAAGGGGCAATATTACGTGTTTCTCAGGCATATATTTAAATACTATACCAAAATAAAGTATCTATG